TGTGTAGCAATAAAGTCGGAGAACCCTGGGAAAAATATAGTCTAGAACTTGTAAAGATATTCAAAGAACGTAGCAGAACCTATTTTTTAAAAGATAAATAAAAATGATATGTACTTCTAGTTTTGTATCCCAATTATTTGACGATCCATCAAAAATAACAATTATATTACGAATTCTTAAAAATGAACATTATTAAGCAAACATCAATCAAAAAACAAATAAAGTTAACTAAGTCACATCAAATTAATCGAATTACCAAACTAAGTTCAATATAAAATATTCAAAGCGAACTTTTTTTATTAAAGAATTTGTATTCAAAGCTATCGAGAGGGTACAAAAATAAATGTTTAATTGTATAATATTTAAATTCAAACCAGTTTTAAGAACCATTTCTTTGTATTGAAAGCTATCCCCTATGACATCTCTACAGTTCTTTAACGCACTACATTAACATATTCGAATCCGAACATTCCACTAAAATTCGCTTAGACGTTCAAGAACCTGTTGAATACTCAGCTTCTCTGCAGGGATTACTGGGTGTTCGTACTGCTCCCACTTACCCACATCGAGAGCTCCCAGTGTTGTGTGCATATTTTCGTATATAAACAATCAAATCAAGCATTTACGATCAGCACAATCGTGCAGAGGCAAAACAACAAAAATAAACCAAACAACAACGAAACCGATTTCAATACAACCCAGGCACATGATCATCATCACTTTTGAGCACTTCGAAATGCAATTTGCTGTTTTTTCTGGGGGGTTTTTTGTTTTAGAATTGTTTAATTGCTTAATTACATGTGCGGGCGGGCACGGCATATTCGGTTTTTGGTTTTTTTATGAATGGCCTACCACTCCAAAAAAAATCTCTCCTATCCAATTGAACTTTGCTTTACTACGATAGCTTGTGAAATTCCTCACTTTGGCCGAAGCGTCTCTGATCAAAGCAAACAATACGGCTAAAAATATAATCCTCAAATGAAAAAACAAAGACTACTTTTTGCAATTTAGTTTTGGGCAGGGGCAGACACAAGTTGAATGTAGTTTGCGTTCGATCCTCTGCCGTTGTTCGTGCTCTTTGCTTTTTGTCTATAAATTAGGCAACAATGCGTATGCGTAATATTTGACTATAAACGATGTGTAGCCGGGCGTATACGTAATATGCGCACATGCCAACGAATTGTTTGCTCTTTTGCAGGGGCCTCCCGATGTGTTCGAGTGAGGAGATTAATATTTATGTCGTCGTTGACAGTTTTAAAATCATGAATGGCCTGGGCATGGATTGTAAAATCAATGAGACGTCCTCATACGTCTATGAGCCAAATAGAGTCATATAATGCTGGGTGGGAAAAACATAGAAGAACAAAGAATAATATCCTCAGATATTATGAAACTTTTGATTTAACTGTTTTCTTTACATAAAATACCTAAGATACTAGTTGTTTTTATAAGTTTTCAACATATATTAATAAATTCTTTATGTTTTCTCAACTACCCACATATAAGCAATAGCTTTTTTCACAGCTGGCAAATACAGAATTTTCGTTTTCAATGCATTTTTCCATGAAAATCTCTCACTTTGTTTAGTATAGTAAAATTCGCAACATAAAAATCCCACGGACCAAATATGCTTCCATTATTTACCAAAGGCGATAAGTTAATTTAAACAAAAAGTATTTGTTTTCTGCACCTCCTCCACTCACCGCTTAAATTAGCCAACAATTTGTTGATGTTTACTTGAAAGGCAAACATTTAATAATAAATTCAAAGGTAAAGGGCGAAAGTACGTCGATATGGGCGTGGCTGTCTGCGGCTTTCGGGGGCGGAGGGTGAGAAAAAATTTCCGCGAAAACGTAAACAAACGAAATTCTTCGAGAATAAATTGCGAATTTTATTGAGTGGCGCTTTGGCAGCCGCAACAAGGGAATGTAAACAATTAGTGAGTGAAATTAATTTTCGTATTCATATTCGTCGACAGGTCAAGCTGCACGCCACCCCGCCCCCGCCGCCGGAGCAGAATCTGCTGCAGAAGGAGATCCGATCCACCAAGAGCGTCTATATACCCAGGTGAGCGGATCTAGAACACGAGTGCCTTGATGTGGTTTTCCTAAGGTGTGCATTTCCATTGCCGGCAGATTCTACTTTCCACACGGCAAGCCGCAGCCCAACATCGCCATGGAGCGGGTGGTGCGGGGCATCCTCTCCGCCTTCGACAGCTTTCCCAACAACCAGGTGACCAAGGACGAGCTGCCCCGCATCCTCAAGCTCTGCGGGCTGCCCTTCTACTGGCGCATGCCGGTGATGGTCTTCTGCCAGTCGGCCAGCTCGGGTCTCGTCGAGCGCCAGCGGTTCGTCGAGTTCTGGAAACAGTAAGTAGTTATAGATTATAGTATCAAAAGAGTTATTTATAAGTATTTCTATCTTAAAAAGGGATTTACTTGGTTCGATACTCGGTTTAAGTCCACAACTAAAATACACACAGATATTTCCCTTTTATTTATATTATATATAGAGTTTTTTAATTGTATTTATATCCTAGAAGGTATGGTTCCGATAATCGATTATAGTCGGGAATTTAAATATGTACAGATACTTCCATTTCATTTATAATACTTATTGTATTTTTATATTTTACAATGAAGTGAAATCTTATAACTTTGCTTGTTTACTCCCTTTTTGCCGAGAATGTAAACATGTTCAGACCTTCCATTTAGTTTATATTATTATAAAGATCCAATTTTTGGATCACCCTTATGTACATATGTATCTATTCATATTGCAAAATGTGAAATAATTAGTGTGATAATGTAATGTTTACATTTAAATTAAGTAAAATCGAGATTTCGCTTATGATTTTGGAATAAAACTTTTATATTTATGTGAGTATGTATTTCTATCTTAAAATGCAAACTAATTAGGTTGATACTCAAAATACTTACATTTCAATCAAGGATTTTCCACATTTTTCTCATGATTTTGGTATAGAATTGAGATATTTACAGATTTTTCCATAAAATAATAATAGCTTTAAACTAGAAGTATTTATTTAGCTTCATCCATCAGCTGTGAGATGTGCGCCCGCACATTTTTTCCCAAAAAGCAGATGCTAGTCGAATGATGACCTTATCTTCATGAACATTTACTCATAAATCAAACCTATATGATCAATTTAAATATATTTTTGACCTACGCATTTCGATTTGATATGATAGCGAGCGGTTTATTCTTCAAACACTTTTTAATTTTTTAATCCCATTATCGGGTTTTAATTTTAAACGTAGGAAAACCTGTTTTGCAAACCCATGTACTTATTCATAATATTTTGTATTTACTTGGAAATGCTTGTACTTTTATTCACATTTTGTTTTAATAAACAACAGAAGGGGCTTTAATTAATAAATCAAATAATTGTCGAAGAACTTAATTTCATACTTATTCTAAAAGAAAACCTCTGTGACTTTCAGAATGAATGTTTATTGCCATGAGGCGGCCTCGAGATTCGTGTACATTCTGTCGCGGGGCCAGAGATTCCGTTCGTACATCGTGCCCGAGGACCTGGTGCCAATGGTGCAGGATGTGGTGGACACACACCCCGGCCTGGCCTTTCTCAAGGAAGCCACCGAGTTCCATTCCAGATACGTGCACACAGTCATCGCGCGCATTTTCTATTCGGTGAACCGCAGTTGGAGCGGCAAGATCACAATAGCCGAGCTAAAACGGTCCGACCTGCTGGAGGTGAGATACGTTGTTCAAAAGATCTATAAATATTTGGAAGAATTGCGAAATAATTAAGAATTCTTAATGTATAATTTTGAACCCGCCCACAGATGATCAGTCTGCTGGAGGAGGAGGAGGATATCAATCAGATAATGGCCTTCTTTAGCTACGAGCACTTCTATGTGATCTACTGCAAGTTCTGGGAACTGGACAAGGATCACGACCTGCTGGTCAACCAGGAGGATCTCGCCAAGCACAGTGACCATGCCCTGTCATCTAGGATCGTGGAGCGAATCTTTTCGGGATGTGTGACGCGCAGCGACAACAAGAAGGCCCCGGAGGACGAGGCCAAGATGTCCTACACGGACTTTGTGTGGTTTATCCTTTCGGAGGAGGACAAACGGACGCCGACGGCCATCGAGTACTGGTTCCGATGTATGGATGTGGACGGAGATGGTGTGCTGTCCATGTACGAACTGGAATACTTCTACGAGGAACAGCAGCAGAGGATGGAGGGAATCGGAATAGAGTGCCTGCCATTTGAGGACTGTCTGTGCCAGGTTAGGATCTGGGCTATAACCCATCTGAATTGTATTTAATAACATTTTTTGAGTAGATGCTGGATATGATCAAGCCGGCGAATCGCGACTGCATCACCCTGGGCGATTTGAAGCGGTGCAAAATGACTCACGTCTTCTTCGATACCTTCTTCAATCTGGAGAAGTATTTGGATCACGAACAACGAGATCCCTTCGCATCGCAACGTGACGAATATGTAAGTTTTATTGGCATTACGTATGTATTATTGGACTCAATCTGACAACTTTCCCTATTTTACAGACCTCTGATTGGGATCGCTTTGCGGCACAGGAATACGAGCTGCTCATATCCGAGGAAAACGATTGAGCGTCGCCAAAAGATATTTATTAACTTACAAATTTTTATACAAATTTATACACTACGAAATGAAAATGAAACAGAAAAACAAACAAAAAGAAGGAACTACAATTAGTCCATATGTGCAATAAATTCAAATTATTTATTATGAGTTCTGCAGATTTAGTTGAATTTTAATGATGATTAAAATAAAATTAATGAAAACTAAAAAAGTATAATTCTGTTGTTCTCCATTTAATTAAAGGGTAGTCAGTTATACCATTGGTAACTTCAGGGTGGGTATTAACATTGTAAACTATAAATTTAAGATTAGTTGCGAAATTCCAGGATGGCCCTTTAAATTTTTTTCTTACATTTCTTAATTAGATATCAAAGCAATACTTTTAAATTTTTTTCATTTTTTTTATTGTTTGTTTTAAAAATTGGATTTCTCAACTTAACTTAGTTTAAAGTAGAACGTGCTTCTCGTTCGTCATCATTACAACGCTACCAGAACTCATTTAGAAACTCAGTTTAGACTATGCAAAATTTGCCTAAATATATTTTTACGTTTGTATATATAATTGGTATATGCAAGAGAGGATCCTAGCGCCAATAGGTCCAGACCTTGACCACATCCCTGCCAACATTGCAGATCGATCTTACGTTAAAAAAGTGGCTTTTATTCATTTTAACATTTGTTATTCCACTTACAATTGCTTTCGGCTCTAAAGATTGCGCTGCTCGTCGATTATGAATCACAGATGCATATGGGATTGAGGATATTCTTTATAAATATTTGCTGGAGCACTCATTCACTCCTCAGCGGGTCATATTTTACACAGTGACGGGGTTCGGGATCTAAGACGAACCAACCAATTTATCATTCAAACCAGACTACAAAATATACATGTTAGAGTAGGAAAAATGAAAGTATCTTTTGGTTCAACCTTAAATTGTGTTTGCAGATGTTACTTTAAGAGAAAACTATGCGCTGACGATTCGAAATCAAGCAATTGTACATATTTAACAAGCTGAAGAGTATAGTATACAAGAGTTTAAAAAGAGCCAACAATTCGGAAAGCGTTGCAAATTGAAAGGACTCTGTTTTCTTTAAGTTGTATCTCAATTTCTGTTTGGTTGGCTGTGGATGTGGGTAGCTGTCTGATTTACTGTTTTAGTCGTACTTTCTCACTATTCTCAAAGTTCTTATCATTATCGGTTGTGGTATCGGAGTCCGTGGCAGCGGTCCCGGATGCCGGGGCGTCCGCATCACGGCTGTATTCGGGTGAGGAGCTGCCCTTGACATAATCGGCGGTTATGTGAACCCCCCGAATGTCTGAGCCGGGCACTATGAACATGGGATCCAGCAGCAGTTGCTCCTGAAAGGGATTTACAAAATTGTTAGCAATTTGTTATAAATATTTCAAATATTTGCACTACTTACCATTATCGAGCGCAGACCACGAGCTCCCGTATGCCTCTCCATCGCCAGCTGGGCTATCGACTTGACCGCGTCCTCCGTGAAGGTAAGGTCCACCTCATCAAGGCCCAGCAGTGCCTTGTACTGCGGCACTAGGGCGTTTCGTGGCTCGGTGAGGATGCGCACCAACATGCTGACGTTCAAGCTGTGGAAGGGCACAATAACCGGGAAGCGGCCAACGAATTCCTAAAGCACAAATGGGGTTTTAAAATGATTATAGATAATCCTTTTTTATAACATATATATATATATATCTCAATATTTAAAAGTTACAGCCTTGATTAGTTTCATGATTTATCCTCGCTCTAAACTCTTTACTTACCGGTATCATTCCGAACTCTACGAGATCACGTGCCTGCACTTTGGTCAGGCATTTATCACGTTCCTCCTGATCGTTGTCCATGGGACTGGCGGCTGATTGAGCTGCACGACGGCCGGATCCGCTGGTCGAAGGCATGCCGAATCCCAAATACTTGGAAACAGAATAGTTAATTAGTAAATGAAGTAAAAGCGAAGAACCATGCCTTACCTTTTCGTTGAGACGACGTGCTATTAGCCTATCCAGTCCTGTGTAGGCACCAGAGGCCACGAAGAGGATATTTGTGGTGTCCACCTGAACCGTCTCGCCACGCAGCTTGCGCGGGGAGTTGCGTTCTGGCACGTTGACCACCGTGCCTTCGAGCATCTTCAGCATGCCCTGCTGGACGCCCTCGCCGCCCACGTCGCGGAGCTGGTGGATTCCAGGGACGGCACCGATCTTGTCCACCTCGTCGAGGAAGACGATTCCTGTTTGAGCGCGCTCCACATTGTAGTTAGCATCCTGCAGCAGCTTGGAAATGACGCTCTCGATGTCCTCGCCCACGTAGCCCGCCTGGGTCAGCGTGGTGCAGTCACAAATGGCGAAGGGCACGTCCAGGCACTTGGCGATCGTCTGGGCGATCAGTGTTTTACCGGATCCCGTTGGGCCCAACATGATGATGTTGCTCTTCTCCAGCTTGACGTCGTTGGACTGCCGGTCAAGAATTTCCGAACCGGTTCTGTGGTCACCACCTCCACGGGCATTGCTGGTTGCTGCGCCTGTCAGTCCGCCTCCAAGTCCTGGACCTCCCATTCCGCCACCCATGCCCATCTGAGCAGGCGATTTTGGCGGCAGTTCGTTGCCCGGGGAGCTGTTTAGTGTGTGACCGATCCCTGTAATGTGTAGCAGATCTGGCCGGGGAATACCGTCCAGGCCGCCGGATCCGTTGCCGGCACCTCCTCCCTGATGTTGCAGCTGCGGCAGGTTGTGGTGGATGCGCTTATAATGGTTGTACACTGCCACCGCCAGCACCTTCTTGGCAAAGTCCTGGCCCACCACATGCTTGTCCAGATACTCCATGATCTTCTGGGGCGGTGGTGGCGGCTTGCGCTGGTTCTTGGGCTCGTCCTTGGTGCGCTGCTTGGTCTCCACCTCGGACAGCACCACGAAGAAGTAGTTGCACTTGGCGCACTTGACAAATCGCGTGGAGCTCACGAATGTCTCAACTTGGGTACAGGCGCTGCCGCACTTTGGGCACGAGAGGAACTTGTCACTGCCGCCGCCCGGCGGATCGGCGCCACTGGTCGTACTCGCTCCAGAGCCTGCCCCTCCGCCGGGGGTTTTGGCTCCACTGCCCCCCGATGCACTGGCTCCACTTCCGCTGGCACTCCCGCTGTCGCTGGTGTCCTCCGGTGTTCTCGAGGAGGCGTTGGTGATGTCAATGTACGCCGGTATTGCCAGTGCGGGCTCAAGTCTCATCTGTCGATTGGCCGCGCAGTTCCGCGTGGCCAGGTGAAAGCGTCGGACGCCCCAGTGGCTGACCTCGTCGCTGTCTGCGCTCAGGATAACGCATCTCGCCGAGCGCTGTGTTTGACCAACTCCGCTTCCTGGAAAGATTAAATTGGAATAAAGTTTAGTTTAGTTTAGTTTATTAACTGCAGACGACTGAAATAATAAATTTAATTGTTTTCCGTATTCATTTATGATTCCCACCTAAATATCATATTTGAAAAGATGTCTTTGTTAAATTGGACCAGACTATAAATATAACATACATTGAATTCTTTCCATATATAGGATGAAAAGATTTTAAATATATATATAAATATTAAATATATAGGGTTATATATTAATATATTTTTAGATATGATTTTGGATACCTTTACCTACTCAACGAAATACGATAAAATGCATTAATTTTGCGTGACATTTTTTTCTGCATGGACTTAGAGATTTATATTGCCTCTCGGACACAAAGAAATAAATAGGAAGCATCGACCCCAAGCGCGGGGTTAATACCTCCTAAAGCACGGACAATTGATGACAACAAAGGGAATCTGGAGAAGAGAATCTCTAGATTGGCCCCCACAAAAAAAAAAAACTAGAATGTAAGGCCAAGGGCAATTAGCATCTTCCGACTTCGCAGATGACTTGCAACTTTTTAGCAGTATTGCCAATCAAGCAGGGCCTAGATATGGCTAATCTAGAAATCCCCAGGTGTTGTAAATATCACAAAAGAAAACTATCTCTTCTGATAACTACTACATAGTTTCTTTCAGTGAAATTGGTTAAGTAAACTTCCGGCTCTCGACTTTCCTAACCTGCAGACCAACCAATGTAATAACCAACTGTGGCCCATTAAAAATGTGTAAGAAATTTGCTCCGCTGAAGACATGAAATAATAAAGAAATCATTGCGTCAGACCAAAAGCAATAATTAAGCTACCTGGCCGTTCGGGCCTTATAAAACAATTCAAGTTCAGTTGGTCCAAAAGCAAGACACTGCTGGTCTGATTGGAAACCGTGAGGGGGTTGGCCTTCCAATCAGATGTGTGTGTTTCGTGAATGTAAAATCAGATGGGGGAACCCCTTTTGGGCGACGCCACTGGGGCCCTGTTGACCGCGAGCAGCTTTTTGATATCAAAAGAAGACGACCTTCACTCGGTGTTTTGGTTGTTTGACACTAGACCAGAAAAATTCAGCGAGCGCAGCAGCTAGAAATTTTTGATAAGACAAATCTAAGGGGGGTATTCGGATTGGGTTTGGTAAACTGCAGTTAGCAGGCTGTTCTGATTGGCTTGTTGCCTTTGTTTTTGTTGTTGATTCACGGCTAATGACGCAGTTACGTATGCGATTGGCGCAACAACAACAGCAGCAGCAGCACTTACCCTTTGCCCAGACACTGTATTTGGGGCCCAGCAGGATAATCCGCCGCACCATGCTCATGGTGGCTGCTCCCCGCCGCCTTTGCGCCTCTACGCCTCTGTTCCTTCCGCTTCCTCCTGCCCCCTGCAGCTGCTACTCCTGCGCGCCCCTGCTTCTTCGCTTCACTTCTCAGCTGGCCCGCCGCTGCTTCTTCTTCCTCTGCTTGCGTGGTTCTTCCTCTTCTGCAGTTTCCTTTTCAATTTCCACTTGTTAGTTTCTATTTGCTCTGCGAAATGCGTCGCAATTTGGCTGCTTTTCCGCCTGCCGTGCTTTATTTTCGGTGGAAAATGGGGGAATAGATAGCGCTCTGCACGTAATTTGTGTGGCTGTGTGCGTGCGTGTGAATCTCGTTGCTTTGGCTGCCCCACTCGCTGTGCTTCTTCTTGTTAAAGCGGCAGTTTCGCTGTATTAAAGATCATCTAATTCTTCGGGGGTTTAACTAAGTAAATTACACTTTTGCTTTTCTTGTAAGTGCTTGGAAAATCTGGAAAAATCGCTGCTTTCTTACAAAGCGATTGCGATAACAATCGATTGTTGTTATCGGCCACAGCTGTTTGCCGCTCTTCTTCTTACCACTCTTCAGTGGGGCCGCGCAACGCACAGTGGAACACAAAGTGACATAGAGTGGACAAAAAACGAGGCGCCAAAACTGGAGGCTATGGAACTTGGAATTTTGCTCTCGGGGGGAATTTTGACTGTGTCGAGGCCGGAATGGTAAGTTTCTAACTCGAAAAATGATGGACGAGAATTTTCAAACGATTACTCTTTTTTTTCTATAGCATTCTGAGTTGAATTTCAACGTGGCATACATTTATATTATTTTAAACTTAAAGCTAAGTCCTGGCTAGAAGCCTGGTATGATGCGACCCTTCTTGCTGGCAGTCTTCAGCTTCCGGTTCTTCTTGTCCTTGCTGCGCTTGTCCAGATTCTCCTGTCGCTTCTTCTGCCGCTTCTCCTTGTCGTGCTCCACCTTCTGCTTGCGCTCCGTCCACTTGGTCTTGGACTTCTTCTTCTCCACGCGTCGCTTCTTGATGGCCTTCTGCAGCAGCTTGGTGTCGTCCTTGACCTTCTTGCCCTCGACCTTGTCGAAGGCGTTGCGCCAGGCGATGTCCGTTTGCATCTCGGCCGCCTTGTCCGTTTCGCCCTGTTCTCGCAGCTCGGTGAGGTGCTTCTTGGTGTCGCGCAACTTCTTCAGGATCTCCTTGGGGTTCTGGTGCGACTTCTTGGCTTTACCACCTGGATTTGCGGCAAAGTCCACCTTGGAGTAGACTATCTTAGCCTCTTGGTTGTACACCGGCTGCACCTTGACCGGCTGGATCTGTTCCTTGCTGTCCTCCGCATCCTGTTCCGCCTTGACCATGCCGTTCTTCAGTTTCTGGTGCTTGACATTCTCGTTCTTCAGGTTTTTGGCCGAGGAGAGGAGCAGTTTCTGGACGCCCTTGCTGCGCTTTAGCTTTTTGGACTCGCGCCGCTTCTGCTGGCGCTCTGTGGTGGGACCCTTCTTCTGGCGCAGCTTGTTCTTGATGGAGGCAATCCGGGCATCCACGTCCTCGTCGTCGGAGTCCTGTTTTTTCAGGTTTCCCTTGTTTTTCTGTTTTTTGCTCTTCTTGTTGCTCGATTCCTCAGTGTCCGAAAGCAGGTAATCCTCGTAGGTGTCTTCATCTGTAGAAAAGGTGGATTAGCTAAGGTTTTAACACTTTTTATTGATGGTTTTACCTTCTTTATTGGAGTAGGGCACTTTGTGAGTGGTCAACAGGTTCAAAACACGCTGGTGGAACTTTTTGGTAAGGGTAAGGAGGTCATCCTGCTTCGTGGGCTTCTCCTGCTTGCCGTTCCTGATGTCGTACTCCTCCCGGAGACGCTTCACAATCTCCGCCTGGGTCATGTTGGTCGGTAAAACAATAATAAAACTATTATTTACGGATGGCACACGTGCAGCAAGGCGGTTGGGATGCAGTGTGACCCCAAAGAAAGTGGGTTAAGTGTTATGAAATAGTGGTCACCCTAATGAGACAGTCTGGCAACGCTTTGAGTGATAAAGGGTATGCGATTATTCAGGATATTTCCCAATTAATTTCAATTGTAAAAACTAAAACCATTTCCACAGATTATTTTCAGTTAGTTTAACTTACTTATTCAAGCTAAAGTTTTGGAAAATCCCCTAAATCACTTTAAGACTAGCGTGACCAGATCTCTATTTTCAAAAGACGCCCTCGCCCGCCTTTCGGCATTTCTTAGCGCTCCCGCTGCGGTCACACTCGCCTCGACTCACTTTTTCGTAAAACATCGTTGAAGAATGACTAATTTGCCAGTTTTAAGTATTTACTCAATGCCTAGCTAATTACACTTCGCGAGCAAACACACAGAAGTTCAGTTTAAGTTGGAGACGCGAGCGGGGAAATAGCGAAACAGCCAAGATGAAGAGGCAGTTTGCGAAAATCAAAATAGCAGCCGAGAATCTGTCAAGGTAAGTTCAAAGGCCAGCCATTCGACGGCTCGTCTGCGTCTGTAGGTGTGTGTGAATGCGCTCCAGGTGGACAGACAGGTGTTGCCTCATCACCAAAACACAAAAAAACCGAAAGAGCAACTGCAGCAATAACAAAAACCCGATGACAACAACAATAACAACGGCAGCAGCAGCAGCAGCAGCAGCGGGCGACTGATGATGACCTAACCCGCGGTTAACCCATGTCAACCCCCCGTTTTCCCCACCCACAGATCCACCAAACCGGACTGCAAGGATTCCGAGCTGGAGACGATCGAACGGCAGGTTGACAGATATCGGGACACCATCGAGAAGATAGTCCGCAAGTTGCCGGCGCTGAGCGGCGGAGGAGGCAGTGGCAGCGGGAGCAGCGAGGAGCAGGACAAGCGGACCAAGAAGAACAGCCACTACAAGATCGCCCAGGCCCTGGACGAGTCCGCCAAGGAGCTGCCCAAGGACATGCCGCTGCAGAAGGTCCTCGCCAATTGCGGTTAGTTATCGGGGGGCTATCGGGATTTCCTGTGTGTGGGAGTCAGTGGCGTAGGCGGGAATTCAAGGGGGTTGTACTTTGTTGTTTGAATGCTATCAAGGGCCTATTGTTTTTATTTGTTATGTAGTAAACAACTTAAAAGGGTGGGCTGGCGCTTTTTGAGCGGCTTATCTTGCTAGTATTTCGTAAAGCTCCCAGTGTTACTTAATTTCATATCTTTAAAAGTAGTTTTTAGAACAATAGATATTCCCTAAATGAAATCCTTGAGCTGGATAAACTTTTAATATTTTTCGCGCTCGCCGTTAATCACATAATTTTGAAGAACTTAAGTAATATCTCAAAAGTAATTTATTAAAGAATTCATATCTGAACTAAATCCTTGAGCGGGTTTTACGCCCTGCTCACACCCCCCTCCCTACGCCCCTGCCAAATGTCATGTTGGCGCTGCTGATAACGCGCACAGTGGTTGTCGTTCGTTCCAAATCCGATAATCGCCGCCAGACATGCACAATGGCACACGTATAGAGGTAGGGGCTTCAGGGGGCCAATGGAACGGAGAGTGGAGAACACTCGCGGATGACTGTGTCACGGGCTTCGGTTTGTCTGTGTGTATTGGCGGCCTCGCCTTGTCGCTTGGCCTTGTGGCATTTACATTTCTCAACTGCAAACGGCAACATCAACATCGACGGCGTTTTTTTAATCATTATTATAATTTTTATTATGACTTTTTCGCTGCTTTCTTTGCAAACGATTCGCCGTTCGCCCGCAGTATCGGTTATTATTTGCGGTTTCGGCATTATCTATTTATACACCTTTTTTTTGTTTTGCCAGCCAAGTTAGCCCGCCCCCACATGCGCCCGCTTTTATTGCCCTTTTTCAATGGGATTTACTGAGCATTTCATTTAAATTTGTTACACATCGCCCGCGAAGAGGGTTAACAATGCCCAGTAAACGGCGATAATTATGCTGCCTGGCTGGCTAGTAAAAGTAAAAGTCTGAGCCAAATTCATACATCATCGTGTGTATCGTCATGATCATGATCTCTTCTCCACTGCTCATTTACTTTGTGGGCGCTCCCCCTAGGCCGTATTACTCATTCCGAGTGTTATTTTCTGTATATTGTTTCCATTCGCTGTTTCCCCCTTTCGAGCACTTTGCATTCCGCATATCCGCAGATGCGTGTGCGTCAATTGCAATTTGGTTTGCAGTTTCTGTTGCAGTTGCAGCTGCAACCTCGCAGTGGTTCAAGACCAGCGGCGGTTGTGTAACGGCCAGGGATCTCCGGAACCCCTCGGTTTCCCCCAGTCCCAACTCCAGGTCCCCACGTTCCTGATTAGACACGAACGTTTCCACATGCATCTATCATAGCCACAGTGAACGTGTGTCCATGGGTTAAGTAAGAGATCCATTCGAACAGCCGGAGAATTATAATTAGGTCAAACTGGGGAAATCAATCGCACCAGCAAACAAAGACCATTTCCTTTCGCTAGGGAAATGATATATTGGAAACTGTCATAATATTATTTTATTGTTTATTATTCAACCTGTCTTAGTTTTCATTTGCAAATTTCTTTCAAATCTCATTGGTTAAAAGTGTGTATTATAAAATCAAGTTATAGCTAAGATTAGTCGTTAGGAGATGACATAAGTATACTAATGGCATTTCATATGCAGAGCCTTAAGCTAAAGCTTTGTGAATACAGTGTATACTCATAGTAACTTTAATCTTTCGCCTCAACTCCTTTTAAAACGCGAAGTATTATTACAAACTTAAATAAGAGAGAAAATTGCTTAAACTAAAAAAGTTAAAAAGTTATCAAAATTAGTGTTTTTCGCCTATGCTACGTTACATTAAAAAATGGGTCTTATTGTATTTTTTTAAAAAACATTTCAACTCTTAAATATTTTTTCAAAGTAATAATTGCCTATATAATCTTTTGATGGCCCTAGCAAAGGAAAGCACCTAAGTGCCTCGATTAAAAACAGCTTCAGACTCACAAAAACCCAAAATTACCACACTAAAATTAGCTTTTTGTCGCGTCTGTTATGGCGGTAATTACATAGCGATATCATCTCACTTTAACCCACTGTGCGCCCTTTGCAACTCTTATTGTTAGCCACGATGCGCTTCAATTCAACCCATTCAGCAAAGGGGAGCCAAAAGCGAGCGTTTCTCGAATGTTATACTCCAGTGGCGACGTCGTCTTCGCTTCGGACTCCCTCTTGTTTCTGCGGTGCGACCTCTTTGCCTTTGCCTCTGCCTTGCCTTCATTGCGGGTTCAGCGGCTGAGGCTCGAGTCCCGGGGCACTCAACACAATTATCACAATTTTGCTTACTCAGCTCGTCAACCTATTCGCCAGCCACCTCCCCGTCGGATTGCCCGAATCCCGCCCCGCATCAAAGCGGAGCTACTCCGGCAACTGGAAACCGGCACGCCAACATCTTTGCAGCTACCGCTTGGCGATAAGGTCTTAAATAAGCATTGACTTCCTCACTTGCGGGTGGAATAGCAAGAGACCTCAAGATACACACAGAAAACTATACTCCAAGTTACATTCCTTGATTATCATCCACAAATGATTGATAAAACTGTCAAGATGGTATGAGTATTTGAATATTAATAACTATATATGTTGTTTCTGTTGTTTATAAGAGATGAATCATTCCAAAG